GCCAGTTCTAAGAGAGAAAATTCACCAATTAACGAAACAAAAAAGCATCCAGGAGGGGTAATTGTTTTTTAACCGACTGTATGGGTCTAAATTCGACTGTACTTTTTTTGTGTGTATGTTACACGATTTCTCCAGCATTTGTAAACCGATTTTGATGATTGTTTTATTGTTGGAAAGAGGTTGCCTTTTCAGTGGAATAGTTATAATTACAATCTATAATAATTCCTATTTTTATGTTGGATTTAATAGATATGTAAGTTTTTATTATTTGTAAAATATAATCGTAACGTAACGAGTAACGCAACGTGCAACACTATGACACACTATTAATAAATTGAAACCGTAAAAAGGTCGCCACAGGACAGGCTTAGCCTAGTGAGGGACCACCTGTAATGATTCACGATGCTTTCGGGCATGGCATCACGTTAGCAACGCATGTTTTTGTTAACACATACTTAATGTTAATTTAGTATAAGTATCTTATTCTTTTCTCTAAAAACATTGACTTACAAATAAGTGGACGACGGGTCTAATACAAAAACCACGAAAAAAATGTCCCAAGTCCATTGACTTACAAATAAATGGACGACGGGTCTAATACAAAAACCACGAAAAAAATGTCCCAAGTCAACCTATTCGAAATTTAAATTGTTATGTCATCGCAGTATCGCGCTGTCCGTAGAACAAATGAAGACTAAAGCGGAGCGTCGCGCTCTGTATACGATTTTAGCGCCTTACAAGTGCGGACACTTTTTAGCGCGGACCCGACGTCCATATAATTGTAAGTCAATGCCCAAGTCAACCTATTTAAACGTAATGACATGTAAAGGAATATGAAAAAGCTAAAACGTTGAATTTAAATTGTAATGTCAGCGCAGTACTGTCTAATTTTGCTTGCTTCTCTGTCAGTCGAACAAACGAAGACTAAAGCGTGAATGACGCTCTGTATACGATTTTAACGCCCTATAAGTTCGGACACTTTTTAGCGCGGACCCGACGTCCATATAATTGTAAGTCAATGTCTCAAAATGTCAATATGTTAAGTATTTTGTTTTTCTTTATGTTTGTGATGCCAAATAAATATATTCTTATTTTTATTATTTTTATTATGTTACGCAATTACCCCGACATTTGTAAACCGATTTCAATGATTCTTTTTTGTTGGAAAGGGGGTACCTCATTAGTGGTCGCATTCATGTAATTCGTATTATTTTTATGCATGTTTATTTATTTTATAATACTAAATGACGGGACGAACAAGTAGTACAAATGGTGGTAAGCGAGCGATGTAATACTTATTTGTTATGCAAGGCTCTGCTAAGTTGTTGTTTGTCGGGAGTGCTTGTATTGGAAACCTGAGCAAGCGAGGGGTAATAATAGATTCTTGAGCGTAGCGTGTTGTTTTTTTAATATATAATAGACACACGCTTGGCCACAATCTCACCTGATGTTAAGCGACGATGTGACGTGCGTTTACCTAAAAAATGCCTATTCACTCTAGCCTTGAATAGCCCCAAATTGTACTTTTCGGGATATACAGATGGCCGGTAGAGCATTCCATTCCTTTGCCGTACGCATCAGAAAGGAGGAAGCAAAGCGCTTAGTGCGAATAGGTGGAATATCAACGACATAAGAATGGAGTGCTCCGGACCTTCTAGTCGACCGAAGGAGGAACTGTGACGGTGGCACTAAATTGAAAAGTTCCTGCGCACACTCCCCGAAATGTATCCGACAGAAAAGTGTTTCAAGCCACGAGACGCAAAACAACTTTGCTGCCGAGGGAAACACACAACTTTGCGCTTCACTATAGCGAAGAAAATAGTGAACAAAAGAAAAACAGTTGAACTATAACAAATTAGTTTTAATAAACAAAATTAGTTATCGTTGCCAATTTAATGTCAACAAATCGCGTAGTTAAACGTGTCACTGTTTTTTTCATCGTTAGGTGCACTACATACAGTTCATCGTCAAGTTGGAATTTCAAAAAGCAAATACTTCTGCGCACAGATTTCTAATGAGTAAGAAAGAATTCCGAGCCATTGAAAAAGTATTGCTTACCTTCGAAACAACTGCCGATGTAGGGTGTTGGAGAGTCCTGGGACATTTCGCAGGCATCCTCTAGGTTTCCCAGGAGAGTCACCGTCAGCTCGTAGATGCCCACTATGTTGCCGAAGATCAGAGATATGGCCTGCAACAATACATTTTTTTTTTATTGCGACTCGGCAAAATGACTGCACCGCTTATGACATGACCAATCACGTGCCAGAACTTCACAATTACCCGCTCATTTTAAATCATCTTATCATCTGCTAAAAGTTAAGATTAGGGGCTTGTCTGTGGCTAGCCATCAAGCTGCTATACAACAGCCATTGCAATTATTTGGTATTCTGCTCTTCGACGACGAGTCGGTGGCACGTCGATGGTGTAGTCCACTCATATATATTTAAGAAGTGCTTAGTAATTTCCACGGTAGTTTTTTCTTTTATATAATAGTCAAGTAACGGGACGAACAAGTCGTGCGCCTGATGGTGAGCTACACGCCTGTCCATAACAGTTGCAGTGCCACTAAGAGTTTTAAATAGCAAAGACCTTAGAGGCACTGCCACTGCACCCGTCACATAAGTTGACAAGTCCCATGTGACTGTAATTTCACTAGCACCCTTCAAAACCGGAACAGGGTAATGATGACACTGCTGATGATACTGCTTCCCGGTAAAAATAGGTCAGATGGCAGTATTTCCCTGGACGAACTCTTTCACAAGAGGCTCTAGTAAAATAACATTGATCGTTAGTGATTGAACGAATTAATGGCATCACTACAATTCCACTAACACTATATCAAGACTCAGCTGCCATTGCAACAAGATTTAAGAAGAATAACAAATACAATCATAATTGCAATATATTTTTAGTGGAGTCTCTCTGGAATGACCAATGGTTTCAAAAAAATTCGCAATTTCCCTAATCTCAAATTAGGAAATTCCCTATACTACGAACACCAGCCCCCGTAAGTATGCCGCCGCAATAAAACTATTATTTCCACATTTAGCTGTCAAATTGGAGTGATAAACCGGCGTTTATCACTCCAATTTGACATTGTTTGTTTGCGCGATGTTTGCTATTGTGATTTAAAAATTTTATCACAATAGCAAACATCGCGAGTGCCGGCGACCAATGATTGCAAAAGATTAATACAGTGCCAAATATGACTGTAAGGTCACAGCTGATTTTAAAACATTTGCACAATAATTTAATCAACGTCAAAATTGAGCGCGACAAACGAAATGAAAACACATTTTTTGTTTCATCGTTTTCGCAGCGATGATTAAACAACAAAAATAGCTATATACCAAATTTCATATAGTTGTCATTGTTAAATGTATAACAATAGTTATACATTTTGGAGAACAATGGCAACTATGAACCTAACTTATTTGGTAATAAGCTAATGTAGCTTAGACATTTTTTGTTTCATCGTTTTCGCGGTGATAATTAAACGACAAAGATTTATATACGCAACTTTATATCGTTGTCCTTATTCTTCAAAATGTTTATCAATAGTTAGTTCATTACCAAATAAGCAAACTTTTATCACCTGAATTTTTGACGTCACAAGAGGTACGTCGACGTCGGTAACCGCTGAGGGTACCGACGTCGGTACAGGCGCTCATACAAGTCTTTCATTTATGAGCATTCGGCTCCGTACGACTGCACACGGCGGGGAACGTTCTTTCATCCATCGAGTGTATAACCAGAAATAGAGACGAAATAAGGCAAATGGACCTTATATCACTTTTAAATATCAACTGTCGTTTGCGCTAAAATCACAAATTAGAAAGCTGAAATAGTACAGCGTCAACAATTGACTTGTGTGTACATCTCGGTATATTCCAAAAATATTCTGTATATTTATTGTAATAAAGATAATATCTCTAACAATGGGGGGCTGTTCCATTCGGTGGCGTGGAAAAACAGCAAAACATCTAATTACAAAACAAAGGAAACCACATTTCATCGGTAATTAAATATTAAATATACAATTTTCAATTTTCGTCCATTATAGAAAAAATCTCAAGTTAGACTGGTAGATTTGAAGTGAAACAATTGACGACTGATCGATTTGAAGTGAAACAATCTATGACTCGTCAAGTCGTCAATTGTTTCCCATTCGGACTGGCTAATCAGAGCGTAGTGTCACCCTAATGATATGGCAGAATAGTTTTCAAACAAATTAAATAACATTTCGTCTTTATTTCTGGTTACATACTCGATGTTTTCACCTCTCTGACCGCGTGCTTAGGTTCCTTTTTCCACGTAGGGAGCGCCTGGTTTCATTTAGTAGGCTATTATAGCGATGAGAGTGATGTATATGTTACGAAGTAACTATTAAGCAATACACCGCTCAACTAGTGCCTATGCATTGCTTATCTAACGACACTCACCCTACTATCCTTCTCGAGTATCTTCTCCAGTTCGTCCTTAAAAACCCTGATAATTAAGTTCAGCTCTCGGAGGAAGTGCTTCTCGTCCGTCAACAGATCCCGAACCAGCTCTGTGTACGTAAGGGAGCCCCGTCTTCGCGCTGCCACCGCTGTATTTATATCGGAGAGACCTAGATCTGTGTCCTGGTAGAACATGTCCATTAACACCTGGAAATGAGAAATATACCCTGTATATTTTTAAACCGACTTTAAAAAAAGAAGGAGGTTTTCAATTTGACTAGATGTTTTTTTTATGTATGTTACGCGATAACTCCGGCAAATGTGAACCCATTTTGACGATTCTTTGTTTGTTGGAAAGAAGGTTACCTTAGTAGTGGTTCCATTGAAATTTGAAGAAAATATTTCACCTCTAAGGGTGGCAAACTAGGGCATGAATCCGTTTTCGCGCACTTTCCGGTCACCAATTTCAATAAAACTTGTCAAATAGTTGTAATTACACGAACTTCTGAGGTCGGTTTTTTAGTACTCTGTACTGAGATTATAAGATAAATACTAGACATGCTTGATCACAATCTCATACGATGTCAAGCGATGGTATGACATATGGGAAACACAGATGGCGATAGCGTAATCCCATTCCTTTGCGGTACGCATTAGGGAGGAGGAAGCAAAGCGCATTGTGGTGTGTATCTATGTGAAGGGTGTGAAATATTATCTGCAATATTTCCACCTAAGAACTTGAATCCAAAGTCATGAAGTAAATTTAAAACAATTACCATTTCACTGCATCTTGAAAAAAAAAAAGCTTATACACTTGGAGAAATTCACCGACCTTATCAGCGCACATGGCCGTCTTAATGTCACGGCAGGTGATCATCTCGTAACCGCTCGAGATCTTCTTGACGAAGTTGCCGGCCAGCTTGAAGATGTCGGAGCTCACGTATTCGAGAATGGCCGTCATGAACACCGACACGGACATGTCGATTTTGTACAGGAGCACTTCCTGAAATTGACCAAGATATTCAGATGAAAATGAATAGACATGCGCACACCATCACTCAGAAGCTATTGACGTACGTATTGAACGAAAGATCGTCTTGATGATGTGTTAAGCGATTGCTCTGGACTTTGTGAAGCGATTTTGAGGATTCTTTTTTTAATGGAAAGAGGGTACCTCAATATTGGTCCCATTTAAATTTGAAGAAAATACTCCACCTCTAAAGGTGGCAAACTACGGGATGAATCCGGTTTCACGCACTTTTCAGTAACCGATTTCAATTAAACTTAACAAACAGATGCAATTCCACAAATTTTTGGGTTCAGTTTTTTTTTATAAAAAAAGTTGTAATTATAAACCCACTTCTGCCATTATTAGCTAAATAAATCACCTTTTGCAGCATGTGATGGACTTTGTCAGCTGGAAGGAGACAGACCCGGCGACGGCGCTGGGCCACGGCATCTCGCGCGTCGTTCAACGCCCATCGGTCCAGCGGGGTGGGGAATGTTCGGGCCACGCGCTCTTCAACATCCTGTAACATAAAAAAGCTTACCTTATTACCTCCGAATGCTGCAAATTACGACAAAATACCGCTGCATTTCCTATGTCACTCTGATTAACAATCCAACCTTCCTATGTGGTCGTATGTCCGAGACAAGTCTAGTACCATTCTCGGTCATCCAACCGAAACAATTTTGTTTTTTATAATACCAAGTTAAGGGACGAACAAGTTGTGCTCTATCCACAACAGTTGCAGTGCCATTCAGAGCTTTAAATTGCAAAGATCTTAAGGGCACTGCCACTGCGCCCGTCACCTTCAGACATAAGTTGACAAGTCCCATGTGCCTGTAATTTCACCAGCTTGCTCACATTATTACTTGGCGACCGAAATAGGTAAGTTTCCCTGGACGAACTCTTTCACAAGGAGCTCCACTGCTACTGCTCTACAACTACTGTCAAATAAGTAACATTCGACTAAAATAAAAAACAATGTCAAGTATGAAGCTTCATTCGCATCATGCATGTTTTAATTTGGTCGAATATTACTTATTTCACAGTCATTGTTTCGGACGGATGTTAGACGGAGAACGGGAGTACAATCCTCAGATAAAGTAACATTAATCAAAGCAGATTTTTAACTGTTTTGGTTCTGAAATGCGTTTGAGAATGAGGATAGTGAGTATAGTGCTGCGAAAAGAGCGTACTTGGAACGAAGCCTTGGGAAGAAGACGTCAAAAAACATCTAAAGGACTTTGGTGACTGGTGTCGAAGGCCAACGCACACTTTGGGTTACTGAGGTTACCGTGTTTGCCAGATCTGTACACACCTTTAACTAGCCTCAGTAACGGTTACCTATCATTAGTCCGAAATGACATTTTCCAGAAATAAATAACGTTTGGTCGAAATTTCATAACCTCGGAAGTAATTTTGAGAGGAAAATGTTTTTTCTTTTAAACTTAACCTAACCTAACCGAACCTAATCGTGTCTTTGTGATAAACATTCAACATATCCTGAAAGAACAACTGTTTCGTTATAATTCGTTTTCGGTGTAATGAAAATTCGAACTAACGTTATTTCGGACAAAAAAATTTTCGTATTTGTGACAGGTTAATACGCCTGTTTTGCTAAAAGGTCGCGAGCTGCACACGTGCATTACGTAGCTCGACCTATTCGCTCGCCATCTATATTTGCTTGCCTTGCGCGAGATTTGATTACAGAGGTTCACGCAAGCTTTGCAGCTTGAAGGACTCTTCACGAGTCGCTCAACTGCGCCGGCCGCTTCCTTTGCATTGGATTTTTTTTTGCGTTGCGTGAGTTTAATATCTAGGTCTTGATATTACCACGCAAGCAACAGGGGACGTCCACTGGCCAATCACAGAGCCAGCGTCCACGCGTCCACTACAAAGGCAATGCGCTGTGCATGCGCACAAGTCTCTCCGCAACGCAAAGCGGAACAATCGTGAACGCCTTTGCGCGGAAGGCAGATTTCTACGCCGTGTACCCGGTCAACGCAAGTGAGCGACTCGTGAACCCGGCATTACAGGGAAGGAAAAAAAAGTGATTTGCTAAATCAAATGGTTCAAGTATTTACTATTAAACAACGGTCTTACAAAAAATTTACGATGCACCTAAGGATACTGTCTAAAAAAACAAAATGGCGGACTGAGCTCAAGTAGGTCTAACGAGGCCTACTGTTGGCACGCGTCGAACGCTAACTAATACTTAAATCGACTGTATTTATTGTTCTGTGGTCACGATTGACACGGATTGTTTGGAAAAAAGCAATAAAGGCGATTTAGCTCCTAAAAATAGTTTAATTTTGTAAATTAGTTCAGGATAGGAGTCTCCTCATTCTCCAGTTTGAGATCAGATGGTTTGCGTGCTTGTCTAGCATAGTTTTATGTTTATTAAAAGAGGTTTAGTACCTGTACAGTGAGTGGTGATGGGACAGCACACAGGCCAGCAAGCAACTTCAGACAAAGCGACTCGACGTACCGCAGCGCTGTCTCCTCCGCAGACAGCGATGGGTGCACTGTGTCCAGGACCTGAAAATGTATTTATTCACATTCAATTCGATTCTGCCTATATTGTGGTTTGCTTTGTATGAAAAATATCGATGTGATTGCCCCTTCAATGTAAATTCAAAAATATCTTTACTTTTTAACCGACTTCAAAAAAAGGAAGAGGTTCTCAATTCGACTTTATGTTTTTTTTTTGTATGTATGTTACGCGATAACTCGGGTATTTGTGAACGGATTTTCATGATTCTTTTTTGTTGGAAAGAGGGTACGTCCATAGTAGTCCCAATTAATTTTGAAAAAAATCATCGACCTCTAAGGGTAGCTGTTCACGCATGAAGATTCATTTTTATAAATAGCGCCTAAATTTTATTATAAGGAGCAATTATTTTAATGGTTGATTTTGCTATTCTCCAATTCAAGGCATTTTTCTCTCTCAATATACTTTGAGTAGTGAGAACCGATTTTTATTATCTCCTGTGTCAAGTCCCGTATAGTGGCGAACTAGGGGATGAATCCGGGTATGCTTACTTTCCGGTAACAGATTTCAATAAAACTTGGTAATTATATGTAATTCCACGTACTTTTGAGGTCGGTTTTTTAGTACTCTGTACTGAGATTATTTTATAATACCAAGTGAGAGTTAAGGATTAAATTGTTTTTGAACGGAATTAATTTTTTTTTTTCAAGTTTATTAACTGAATTAATACTAGTGGTTGTTTCTATAGCATGGAACATCGACAAAGTCAAAGAAGAGATTTTGAGAGCCGTAGGCATGCCAGAAGCGGGCGCTATGTTGCTGATTCCACTAGCACCAGTCAAAGAGTCATATCAAGATTGTGGTCTCGCTACCGAGATACTGGCGATGTGGCTCACCGGCACACAGGGAATAGTGGTGGTACAGGGTGACTACCGCAAGACAAGACGGATTTGTGCAAGTTATGGCAAGGAGACAACCTCACATTACGAATAGGCAATTACAGACGGAACACCAGGTCCTGGTGAGCGATCACACTGTGAGGAGGAGACTGCACAAATCAACCTACATTGCATTACAACGAGGCCAATCGTGGTCGAAGATTACAGCGGACAAATGATTAACTGGTCTAGGGAGTTATTCTCTTTCTTATAAATCCCGACTTCGGATTCATTCGGATGCACGAATACGCGTTTGGCGAATATTTGGGCGTGCGAGTTGCCTGCGAAATCGCCAAGAAGTCTATCCATATCAAGGTATAACAATTATGGTATGGACGGGAATACGCCTATGGCAAATTAGCTGCCGCAAAATTTCGTAATCAGGGTCTGGTACTCTCGTTCACCATTATATCCGTCCATCCATCCATCCAATATCTGTCTGAACCAATTATTGTGACATAAATAATACCAATAATAATACTAAATAAGATGCACAATGTAAATGAAGATTCATAATTGAAATTGTCTTTTAACTTTGTAGAGTATTTACTTATTTGACAATAATTGTTTCGGATGGAGTACGAAAGTAAACTATTGTACGTTTTTGTGTGATAATGTCTGCTCTTACACATCGCAAGTAGTAATTAATTGTCAAGTTTCTATTATATGTTTTTACAAATACCCTCTTAGAATTAATAACTGATTTTATTAGTAATAATAAACTTAAATTATAAAACATATTTATTTCAATATTTGTAACGGTGATGGTATATTGTGTTGTTCTGTACTGTTCCAGAAGCCGGAATACACTTAAGAGCAGTGTGAATTAATTCAACTCATCCGAAGAACAGAGTCCGATGTGATTGTACAGCGAAAAGAGTATAAGTACGTTACGAGAATAATTTTCTTATTCAAACTAAGGCCTACGTTAAGGTGTTTTGAGAATTTATATATCTTATTTCATTTCGGAAATATTAAATCGAGCGAAACGGTCGACCTGCCATCCACAGCGAAGAAGAACGAACGAAATGTAGTATGTCCTGAGAACAAGTAGTCTTGCACATAGATCTTTGTTCTATGGATGAGTCGAATTAAACATCTTAAAAACAAAAGTGTAACTCCCATGACTGACATAACATTGACAAAATTCTACAAAGGAAGCCAGAAACTTAACAATAGATAATAATACATTCCTTGCAGCAACATAATGCTGCACCCTAGACTGGCACGCCCAGTACCTGGATATAAATCTGATTGAGTATGTGTGGGATATGCTTTGACAAAGGTCATTACAAAATTTTTCTGAAAAACCTGGTGACAGAAAGTCAACTATTCATGCATCTTTGTCAAACCTGAGGCTTTATCACACAAAGACATATTGATAACCTGATTTTGAGTATGCATAATCATTGCAAATGCGTTATAAACATCCGAGGTGCATTTACAAATTATTAAAATTGTAACAACATCATTTATGTTGTGTTTAAATCCATTTTAAACATTGACTTACAAATAAATGGACGACGGGTCTAATACAAAAACCACGAAAAAATGTTCCAAGTCAACCTATTCGAAATTTAAATTGTTATGTCATCGCAGTATCGCGCTGTCCGTAGAACAAATGAAGACTAAAGCGGAGTGTCGCGCTCTGTATACGATTTTAGCGCCTTACAAGTGCGGACACTTTTTAGCGCGGACCCGACGTCCATATAATTGTAAGTCAATGATTTTAAACAAAAAGTAAACAAGTCACTGACCTGATCATAGATGTTTTAGTGATGGCCAATTTTACTGCCAAATACAAATCAATTAATGAATTGAATACATCAATTTGTTTCATTGAGTCATATTAGCGGTTTTCATTACATTAAAATTTTCGAAATCTTAATTTTAAATACTCCTTCAAATCCATACACTAAGGGTCATATTCCAGAACTGTACTCAATGCTCAAGTCAGGATTTGAGCAGACTTGAGTATGATTTCTAGTGCTTTGAATCATACTCAAGTCCTGACTTGAGCATTGACTCGAGTTCTAGAATACGACCCTTAGTTACTTGTTCTATTACGATTGAAATTTTCAATTTACTAATTGATCACAAAAACTTTAATTTTATGAACCGAATGGTTTTTCCGTACAGCACTATGCAACCATACTATTCATAGAGCTTTATTAAAAAAACCTTGCTTTATAACTACCATTTTTCAAATATGATTTTACAATGTTATTCAAATGAATATTGTTGGAAAAAGTGATAATACGTCAAGTCAAAATCGTCGTAATATATGTGGAAGTGGACAAAATGTTTTGTTTACTTATTATTCTTATTTTAGTACAAAGTAAACTTTTTATTTTTATCATAAAAGTCATTAAAAAATAGTATTAAAAAATTTTACTATCATTTTCTGTGAGATCATAAAATGTTACTCATTTTGATATAAATCAAGAAATTTTTTGTATTTTCTTTTCAATTCATGAAAAACTAAAATATCCATAGACAGTGTTGATGTGTGTATATAATTTTAAAATAGTAATCTAGGAAAAATATTTACAATAAGGAAATGAAAGTGATTTCTGGTTTATGAGCACATCTTCTCTTAAGAATTTTTAAAGGATTTACAACGGACATACCAAATGTAAGAATAGTGAAGGAAAAAGCCATTCAGAATGATTCCAAATTCTTAAAATAAGTGGCCAGGAACCAGAAAAGAAGACGATGAAGGATGTCAGCACTGTTACAAGTCACATCCAATACAGGGGCCTTACCATGAACTCTTATTACAGTTCAGTGTAGGTTCGTAACAACAAAAAGTGATATACACTTCATGGAGCGCTGTCTCACTACGATTCAATTTAGTTCCTAAATAAGAGTTCGGTAGAATAGATAATATGTTTATTTGCCAGAATACAGTAATTACAAAGGTCTTAAGTAAAATTAGATACATTGTATTCAACCTGCAAGCAGATGTGCAAATATTAATGGGATTCAATGTTTCTTTAGTCTCTATAGTTTCTAATTAATGTAATGAATTTGTAAATTCTAAGTATTCTTTATATAAGGTAAGGCCCCAGGACATGAAAATAATTTGTCAACTTATGTTGATTACTATTGGACTTGTAAATATTGGTTAGTTTTAACTGCCTCTGTGGCCGAACAGTTACCATTTGGGACTGCCATGCAGAGGTCCCAGGTTCAATTTCCGGGCAGGGAGAAATGTTTGTTTGGCCTACATTTATTTCTCTCATCAGTTTGGGTGTAATTTGCGGTTGTCTATGTGGTGTATCCTTGGCACCCGCAATACAGGTTTTCCATAGGCTATGTTGAGTGTGTACATTATTATAGTTTGAAAAAAAAAAAATGTGTTTTAGATAATAAAACAAACAAATTCATTCTATGTGTTACAAAAACGTAAGAACTCATTATATTAAAAAATACTTATTAGCAATTTTCATCTCAAGCAACATTATTTGGTAAGTACAGTAAGTATTCATTTAATTTATAACTTCAATGTCAAGTCTGAAAATTGACATGGCCCTATAAGTTAAGCCATAGGTTACAGACAATCAGAATAAATTCATCTGTGCTACATCTGGTAAATTTATTCAATCTAAAACCTATGTACATATTTCAAAGATCATCACAAATTTTCTTCTTGTTCCATGCTGCATTCATCTTTTACTTAAGTCCGTTTTAAGATAATGGGTTTTACGCAGTTTACACAACAGAGTAACTTTTATATAAATAATAACATAGTACATTTATTTTCAACATTTGTTTTTTATATAGAAAATTTTTGTTTTCGTTTCAAATCTCACTAATAACATAGTAAAGTTATTAAAGAACAAGTTTTAATGCTTTGTTTAGATTATTTACCAGGAGAAAAAATGAAAATAGAGGGAAATAAGACGCGGTGCACGGCGGAGCCGTTTTGTACACAAACCTTTCGAAGCGAATTGACGAATATACCGCGCCACTTTTCCGCATTCTCCGGGGCCTTGAAGTCGTACCCATGACTCTCGTCCACGCTGGGTAGCATTTTAACCAGCAGCCCCGCTCCAAATTCATGTAAACATAAACCCGATATCACCCCAACACAGCAAACCGACCCGTCCCTAAACCCATTCCGCTTACTGTACAAATTTGACAGCTTCCCGAATTAAAAATGACTGCGATAACAACACTAAACACCTCTTCGCGCGTTAATATTGGCGATAACACACGTTACTTTACAATTATGAGATACTATTTAAGAAAAAATTACAATTTTGATTCATTTGATCGGCAAAGCGACGCCATTTTCAATCTATGTACTGTCAGTTTGTTTTCGTTGATTATAGACACTTTTATCAAATTGTCCTAATCTTTTGAATGTGTACTCGGAAATGTAAGAAAGTATTTTAAATTATTTTCTTTAAAAAATGCATTTGTTAAAATAGCGGCTAAATTAAATACAATTTTCATTAAACATTATCGCAAAGCAGTAAATTAAAATAGTGAAGAACAATTTTTCACTGTTGACGTCTATTTCAAAGGGGTGTTTCGGAACATTTGTGAAAGAATTTTTGTTTTCATTGAATTATTTTTGCTAATAATTTACAAAATTGACAAACGATGGCACTTTGCGCAAGTTTTGTAAGTGAAAATCAATATAATTTTATGACGACTAAGATCACAGTTTGTCAACTTTATTCCAATAGTATTTCATTACAATATTTCACTCATAAAATTTGTTAAAAATATATGTTTTTCTTTAGAGTATTATCATTGATCAATCATACTTAAAAAGCTTTTTCATTATGGGGCGCGGAGTGCACCTGTCACCATTTATTATAATATTTAAAAAAAAATTGCAGTTTTAAATTTTATAACACAAACCGCGCTCGTACAGCAAAGACGACCTTCTAGAATTTAATTCGGGCAGTCAGACCATTATATACATATTTCGATCATATCTTCATTATAACATATCTTTAAAAAAGACCGAGTTAGAATTATTAAAAACAAACGAGCATATATGAAGAGACTTATGGGAGTAGAAGAGGTGAAGGAATTTTATCAGGAGCGTAGCAAATGGAAGTTCATGGTCTCTGCCTACCCTGATAGGAGACAGGCATGATATTGTATGTTGTATGTCGACTCAAAATATACTAGATTAGAATTGTCATCACAAAAATGAAAGCGATATGCTATTAGAAAATATTACAAAATATTAATTAAAAGAATAAAATCCTATTTAAGTAATTATAATTATAATATACATACACTGACTTCAATGTATACATATAATGGATAAATGTCCTATTTATGAACGAAATAAAAAGTTTATTTTAGAACGAATCATTATAATGGATTGTTTACACGGGCTTCGTAGCTAAGCGCTTAGTACTTGTCACTATACTAAAGCCTCATAGACAAGTGAAAAGTAACCGTTTACACGTTGGAGCCAGTAGAAGTCA